ACTAAATGATCAGAGATATTATATATATATATATATATATATATATATATATATATATATATATATATATATATATATATATATATATATATATATATATTATAATATAATAGTAAGACAGTTAAGAGTATAAGAGTAGGCACTGAGGCCCAACCCTATTCCACCATGGTCCGCTTATTTTAAAATGTCTGGCCTCGCCCCTCATTAATAGTAGTAGTAATATAGTATTAGTAATCTTTGGGTCAATAATAATTCTTTCATGAATCTCAGATCTTATGCTCATCGCCACTCAGGTTTGAGAATACACATGTTGAAAATTAGGTCAATTTAAATTTTTATTATTTAACAATGAAAAAAGTAGTGAGAATCACATTAAACACTACCTTAATAGCCTCAAAAGATCTTTTGTGTGTCTACTTTCTGAACAAATCCCTGCTTTAAACAGTCCAGACAGCGCTTTACTTCTTTGTTGAATGATTCAGTTGTTTGAGCGAATGGTCTCACTCGTTAGACAATACTACCACCTGCTGGAACATTGAGTCTTCTTTTGAGGATTATTTTTATTTTTAATCATCACTTTTTCATATTAAAATGCAATGAAGTACAATAAACTATATTCTTTGAGATAAAGAGATAGTTCATACACTCTATAATGTCATTGTTTACACACTTTTGTGCCATTTAAATCTGTAGGAATTTCTTTGTAGGCCATTTGCTTATCAGGCAACATTTACCTTGATTTTTCTTCAAGTGATGCTGATGAAAATTTTAAATTCCCTCCACCTGGGAACATCTTCAAGATGGAACGATTCATTTTCATAGAAACCACCTAAATCTTTCACGCAAACTTTCTAAAGCGACATTACAGTGTTGTGGTGGAAATGACACTGATACAGTGCAACAGCTTTATTTTGTATAAAAAATAATATTGATAATAGTCTCACATTAATAACTATAAATATAACTATAAAATATTTCATTTATTTCACTAGTGCTTAATTAAGATACATTAATAGTTAACAGATAAATTATATTTTTAAATGTTATTTTCATTGTTGAAGTTTAAAACTGGGTGTGCGACAAGGTGAAAACAATGATTTTGACAACTAAAAGGAGGTTGAATAACATAAAAAATATAATAGAAAGCTAGTAAATTTTTTAAGTAGGTTTATTGTTGGCAGAGCAGCGTGTCAGCATCAGCATTTGTATTGTAGACTATTTTTTTGTAAATATTTACCTGCTTCTTTTCACATTTAACATAATAATGAACTGAAATCTTCTTTCGGTGGTAATTTCTGAGCCAATTTTACAACTTTAAACAGAATTTTTGCAATAATTTGCACAAATTTAATTCAGGAAACCCAATAATGATTTTTTAAGTGGTCACTTGTTTTTATTTTTCTTTAGGGCTGTAAGTATTACATGTTTGATGACACAATCTATTCATTTCATTCACATGTTTTAGTGAAACTCGCCCATTTCAAGACACTGAAAAGTGTTTTTTTTACAAAACAATGAAATATATTCTTTAAATTAAGGTAACTAATAAATATTTTACCTATAACTATTTCATTCTTACCATCTGCAAGATTTAATTTATTTGTGTGCGTGTGTGTGTGTGTTATATACTGTATATTCTAGAGAAAAGATAACAGTAGCTTGAATTGGTCCATCTGTAACTCCACATGAGCAGTAATTTTAAAGTTTCTTCCGGTCATTCGGGTGCCATCTTCTGTCTGGAGCATCAGGCCAATCTTCTGCTGTCCAGAATTAGGGGGTTTGTCTTGGTCGGGCATCTCAGCTGAGACCTGTCCACTATGGGTGACCCTACCGGTAGCTGTGAAGTACCAGTGGCGTAGCTCTCATCATCACTGATGCACACAAGCCCTCACAGCACGTCAAGCTGCAAACCATGTGAGGGACCCTAACCTACCCTAACCAAAGACTGTAAAAAATATGTACGACGCGACAGCCCCTTTTCCCATTGAACGCCTTGAGGGCAAAACGCCTGCTTGACGGGCACAAACTGTCGCAAAAGACTGCTGAAATTGGAGCCTTGACATGCGCAGAAGGACTCTCTGATGGAGCCAGAGGAGGAGCCGCGAAAATGAGAGGAGTCGAACCAAACGCTTTATGTAAAATCAACCACGCCCCCCGAACTTCTCAGCATGCGTTTGCTGTCATATCAACACAAATGGATGTAATAACGTTAACAAATATGAGGGTTTTTTATATTCAATCACGCCAGCTCCGGGCCGCAGCGCATAACATACTCGCGGCGTCGCGGGTTGATTCGTCGCGGGTCGACTCGCTCGGCCGCCGCATCTGGCTCGATTGACTCAGGCTGGAATCGGGCAGTGAGTCCAGGCATCCGGAGTAGGTCCAGCAGAGGTAGTCAGTCTGAGCTCTTAGGGGTAAATCTCTGGCAGGTGAGAATCTAGCCAAACTGGTCCAAGTGTATTTGGGTGGCTAGGCGTGTATCAGCAAACTAATAAAGCCCGAAAAAAGCCCTGACCTCAGCGAATAAACAGTGTTCCACCAGGATCATGTATGTCAGAAACTGTATAGTTTACTGCTAAACCCATTTTGTCATGGTAAAATAACACAGAAATCGAATAATAACACTTAGGCTATGTAATAATCACGATGACACGCCCAGCATTAAATTACTGCTAAAAACAAACTGTTTACAAAAATGAAGATCTGCACCTATTTCAGCACAATAACCAGTGCCTTAATCGACCAGAACCATCTTTCGGGACATTTATTGCAAGTGTAATACATTTTTTTATTTGGGCTCAAGTCTCCTTCATTAACACGGAGGAGGCGGGCTTTATGACTTGTACTGCAGCCAGCCCCCAGGGGGCGATCTAACGGCCGAGACCTTCACTCAAACGCAGGCTTGCGGCACACTTGACCCTAACCCAACAGCTAACACTAACAACTCTAACAACAACCACTAATGTGCCAAAAACCACTCAGAGGAGACCAGCAACACGCAAGAAACCGCCTAGAAAACCTCGCTAAACGCATGTCAACATCCAAAAGAACCCAAGAGCCGAATATCAGCAGCACGAGCACGGACAACCACCAAAACATCCAGCAATGTGATAAACTTGAATGAAAAGTTGAATTTGATTTATTGCAAACTTATTCTATAACTATATACAATATATACACTATGTACATACGTGCCCGTGATTCTCCATCTGGCACTAGGATGGCTCAGTGCCTGGGCCTCTTCCTCCGGGGCTCCCTGGGCAGCGGCTCTTTACTGATGTCCACCTTAATTTGAGGGGGGACGCTGGACTCGGACCTGATCTCTGTGATGAGCACGCGTCCATCAGGCTGCACGGTCTCCAGCAGTGCAGGCCGGCCCAGCTTCTCCCACAGCCGCTGCTTTACCTCCAATCCTTGCTCAAGGGTGTATCGGCGAGCGCGCTTCTTCACGGTGGAGTCCATCACACTTCGGTAGATTTCCTGATACTCCTGCACACTCCGGCCGTGGATGGAGAGCGGCTCCTCCTGCGGACACTCACCCACTGGGGTGACTGAGGCTGCGGGACGGAGGACAGCTGCAGGACGGAGGACAGGAAGGACAGCCGCATTCCTCAGGTGTCGTTCCAGCAAGAAGTCCTTGAGGTGTCCGGGGAGAGTCCTGGTCCTTTGTGAGCGTCGCAGCATCATCGTGAACAACTTCAACTTCCCAAACTGATGAAACTCAGTCAAGGGGAGATTTGTGCAGAGTTGTGTAGCGGGATGATCAGAATTGACCCCTCTATAGATAGTTGTGTGGATTTGTAAACCAACTCACGTTGCCATGGTGACAGAATGACGAGGGTCATTTAAATGTACTACTTTACTTTAACTTCAGCGTTAAGTCAATTAGAGCAACAGGAGCTATGTTTGTACACTATTTTTTTTTGTTAAATGTTATTAAATCCAGAAAATATCTTAATAAATATTAGGTATAATAATAGAGGGCCCATATACCCAGATAAATAAATATTGACCCCGTTTTTCTTTATTAAGATATTTTCACCTTTGAACTTGAAAATCGCGTCATCCGTTTCCGCTTCAGAAATCTGGTCATGTGTGTTTATTTGTTTATTGCAGTACAGCGCAAATACAACGAAGCAAAATTCTACCATTTTCATCTACATTTACAGGATGAGCACATATAATAATCAAACCAATAAGATAATAATAAAAGGCAACTACTATGACAAGAAAATGTAAAATTTGTTTGTATCTTCAAACTGTAATTTAATGTTAAGCGCTTTCATCGTACCTTTGTTCTAACTGATTCGTCAGATATTGAACCACGCTTTTAAGGCATCCCTCAATCTGTGATGGAGGAAAAAAGACGTAGCCTACTTTAGTTTAGCCGCCGCCAGTCGCGGCAGTTAAACTAACTTCTATCAGGATGTCGAAGCATGCTAATAGGACTATTAATTTGCCAGTAACCTGGGTTAATCGTTTCCGGCGAATTGAATGCCAATGCAAAATCAGCACGTTAAGGGTCTGTTTTCTTTAAAAATCAGCGATCTCCACTGGCTGAGTAATATCCGATAAAAAGTGGGTCTCAAATTGTACAAGAAGCACTGCATTAAATTACATTTTCCCCGCCATGTCTTTATAACATGAGCATTTATTTTACCCCCATTATATTCAATAGAGCTTCTGCTCTAACCTGCTGATTCTGACGGGCGCGTGCGAGCAAACGGCTTTTTGTCTCATTTTACGCTTGAGCAACTAAATGAATGTCAAAGTCTGTTTAACTGATTGTATTTGAATTACATTACAACATCGATGCTGTAAAAGGAACCATATAAAATGGAAAAAAAAAAATCACAATAACAGGTCACCGGAATTGTCTCCGTATGGGAAACAAATTAAAGCAGTGGTTCTCAAACTGTGGCACTCGGAGGAATCGCTGAATAATGAAAGAAACAATTAACACTTTTAATCCTTTAATGCGTACTATAACATCGATGTGATCTGTTACAATTAGGGATTAATTACTGGACCGATGTTTGCTAACCGCCACAGGGTTCCGATTAGAGAACTTGGAGTCAGTATTAGATGATATATGTAGCTTTAATGATTGCTGAGATGGACAAATGCAAGGTTTCTGAGAACAATAAAGAACAAAAGAATTACAAATTAATTACTGAAACATTCTTATACAAATAACAAATAAACTGAAATATATCTTAGTATACAAAGTATCAAGTGTACACTTATTCCTTTGTTAATACAAATTATAATGATCATCAATTTACACTTTCAATGATCAGCGTCTCATATTACAGAGCACAATTCACGGGCAATGAACAGATCGCGATAGTAAACAGATTGTGCATAATAAACACATTTAAACTGCTAAACAGTGTTTGCTGTTGATTCAATCTTCAAATAACAGTATATAAGCAAATAACATTAAACTTACTTTGTCTGTCACTCATACATTGTCCCAATAATGCGTGCAATCGAGCGAACTTTCCAGACGGAATGGCTGATGCAACACTAAAGCACGATGCCTGTAATCAGTTCACTAAATGTCCATATGTGATCAAACAGTGCCACCTTGAGGCGTACTTGGTGTACTGCATGCTCATACTCTCTGACAGGCATACATGGACAATTCGTAACAGCCGCCCCCACATTTGAGTAGCAAATGTGTATATCAAGAGAATTCTTTATGCTGACTGATCTTTAGCACTGTCTGGCAGGCCTGGTAGGGGAATAAGTCGTGCCACAGGACGAGTGTAGACTTTATCCTTTACTTGAATTTCGACTGCTCGTACTTTGCCGTCTTGACTCGGAAAGAGCTTCAGCACTCGTCCCACAGGCCAGTCTGCACGTGGTAGATTAGGATCTACTATCATTACCACAGTCCCTAATGCAATGGCTTCCTTTTGTTGCTGCCATTTGTAGCGAGATTGAAGTGCTGGCAGGTAGTCTCACAAGAAATGAATCCAGAAATGCTCTATGATATTTTGACAATGCCTCCATCTTCGTCGTCCTATAGTTTCAGGAGCATAAACGGCTTGCGGCAGGAAAGCATCCCGCCGCCCCATGAGGAGCATGTTTGGGGTTATAGGATCGGGGTCAGCGATGTCAGCTGAAACATATCCAAGAGGCTTGGAGTCAATGATACCTTCTACTTCTACAAGGATGGTGTGTAGCACATCCTCTGGTAGAGGTTGAGTTCCCACAGCAACCTGGAGTGCATTCTTGATGGAGCGAATCTCCCGCTCCCATACACCTCCGAAATGTGGAGCATTAGGTGGGTTGAATTTAAACTCAATCTGGTAACTTGCCAGCTGCTGTTGAAGCTGTGTTTCCATTTCCTCAAAGGCTGCTCTCAATTCCGCATCTGCCCCTCGAAAATTAGTGCCTCGATCTGAGAGAATCTCCACTGGTCTGCCTCGCCGTGCAATGAATCGACGGAGGGCGAGTAAGAAAGCATCCGTATCCATTGAATTGAGCAGATCCAAGTGTACTGCACGGGTTGTTAAACACTTGAAAATCACTCCCCATTTCTTCTCATGGCGCCTGCCAATCTTAGCAATGAATGGCCCATAGCAGTCAATGCCCGTTGAGTGAAATGGTGGAGAAAAGATACGGAGGCGAGCTGATGGTAGGTCTGCCATTTGAGGAATTCTAGGGCGAGCTCTCCATCGTTGGCACTCTGTGCATTGAAGCTGATGTTTCTTTATAGCCTGCCGCCCCTTCAAGATCCAATACTGCCTCCTGATCTCTGCGAAGACTCTCTCAGATCCACTATGCAGCAGGCGCTCGTCATAGTCTTTGATTAGAAGGGCAGTGGCAGGATGACGTGAGTCGAGCCCTATAGGATGGATCTCAAAGTCACTGATCGGCTGCATCCGTCGTAGCCTCCCTCCTACTCTGATAAGGTTAGTTGCCTCGTCCAGCTCTGGTGCTAAGTGCCTGAGCCTGCTGTTGATATGAACGGGCTGGCCTGTCTTAAGTGAGGTGAGCTCCTCTGGAAAGCTGCTTTCTTGGCATGCTCTTAGAAGGGTGAGTTCAGCTGCACGGTAACTATTGCTTGGCTGAGTTTGAGCAGGCTCTCCTGTACCCTGACATTGGAGGCGGACAGCTTCGACTAGGTCCTTCCATGATGTGAACTGACTTGCATCTGGCACACTGTCCTGCTGTTGTACCGATACTAAGTTGCAGAGTGTTATATTTCTCAGTTCATCTGACTGGAGTAATGGAGCAGTATGTGGTTTCTCTGGCCAACAGTCAGGAGCTTGCAACAGAAAGGATGGGCCTTTACTCCACCTGTTGGGAGTAGCTAGATCTAGAAGTTTCTTTCCTCTTGTCAAGTCATCCGCTGGATTACTCAGCGTATCCACATAACGCCAGGCTCGCAGATCTGTAAGTTCTTGTATCTCTGATACACGAGCACCAACGAATACCTTAAATCTACATGATTCTGATTGCAACCACTCTAGAACTGTCGTGGAGTCTGTCCACAGTGTAGTCCTTTGCAGTGTGACTGACAATTCTGTCTGGATCAGATTGGCAAGCTGCGCTCCTGCCAGCGCTGCACACAACTCCAGTCGTGGCATAGTCTGTTGTCGTTTAGGGGCAACCTTTGATCTGGCCATGACGAATGCTACATTGGTAGCACCACCTTGTGTGGATGAGAGGTAGGCTACTGCTCCGTACGCCTTCTCAGAGGCGTCACAGAAAACATGAAGGTGGTGTTCAGTGTTGGGCTGATCCATTCCATCTGGGAGATAACTACGAGGGATTGAGATGGCACTGATATTTGGCAATTCACTCTCCCATTGCTTCCAGGATTCACATAGATCTAGAGGGAGATCTGGATCATCCCAGTCTCTCCTCTTTGCCCACAGCTGCTGCACAAGAACTTTAGCTCTGGTTAGGTATGGCGTAAGGAACCCTAGCGGGTCGTACTGACTGGCCAGTATCTTATAAATTGTGCGCATGGTCAGAGTTGAGTACTCAATGGGTCGATATCTTTAGCCCAGTGTATCTGAACTACAGTTCCAGCAGAGTCCTAATGCAGGCTCTCTTTGATCACTCCGATTATGCTCTAGCCACAGCTCCATGTCCTTAGACCTGGCTTCAGGGGGTAGGTGAGCCACAACTGATGATCGATTGCTAGCCCATTGTCTGATATCAAATCCACCATCAGCTAGTAAACTACGCAAGTCATCAACTCTAGCTTGGGCTGCTGCACCATTGGGGTGACTCTCCAAACAATTATCAACATAGAAGCTGCGCTCGACTGACTCAATGAGACCTGGAGTGCTGCGTGGGTGTTCTCTGACATGCCTCTGTAATGCGTAGATAGCGCAGCAGGGACTACTTGTTGTCCCAAAAGGTAGCACCTGCCATTCATATATCTCTGGTGAGGCTTCCTGCTGTAAGTCCCTCCAAAGGAACCGTAGCAACGGAGTGTCCTCAGGCAACAGGTGAACCTGGTGGAACATTCCTCTTATATCCCCACTGATTGCCACTTGATGTTGCCGGAATCGCAGTAGGACCCCAATTAGAGAAGGCCCCAGGTTCGGACCTGGCAGTAACTGATCGTTTAGGGAGGTGCCCTTGTATACATGGGAACAATTGAACACTAGCCGTGCTTTATCATTATGATAAACGAGATGATGTGGCAGATACCAGGACTCCTCTGAGTTTTCAGCTTCCTCTGCAGTAATCTGCTTCACATAGCCAGCCTGAATCAGCCTATTCATTTCTCCCTTATAAGCAGCTGCTTTCTCTGGCTGATCTCGGAGTCTCTTTTCTGTGTTACGTAGATTGGCTAGTACCGACTCTTTAGGAGCTCTCAGCTTAGGAGCTTCTGCTGGGCGTAAGAGTGGGGTGGCATAACGTTCCACATCATTAACCAATATTCTGCACGTTTTAGTATCAAGAATCTTGATGGACTCTTGGTCTTGTCTAGAGCGAATTACAACCTTCTCGCTGCGGTATGGTAATGAGTCTAATTGCCACAGTCTTTCCACATCTCTATAAAGTGTGTCGTGTGCTGCTGAGGCAGTAAAGAAATAGCTCTGAGTCATTGTGGTACCTTTGTTTGGGAGGCCTTCTGGGCCTTGAAGAGCCCAGCCCAGCTTTGTGCGAACTGCAACTGGTCCCATCTGATTGCTGGCTTGAACTGTCTTCTCCGCTGTGATCAGAGTGCTATTATCTGACCCAATCAACAACAAGGGTTGAACATTCTTGAAAGGCTGCAGTGGAAGATTCCTTAAGTGTGCATATTTGTGTTGGAGAGCCTTTATAGGGTAGCTCTGCTCCACCAGATCTAAACCAGCAGCAGTAAATGCATTTTGAATCCTATATCTGGTTCCAGAATTGAGCATGGAGGACACATCAAAGGTAACAATCGAACCAGTAAGGAATGTAACATCAGGGCGAATAGTACGTAAGGCTAAGGTTTCTTCCTTACCCTCCAGCTGCAGCTTTTGAGCTGCTGTGGGCAGCAGCATGGTTCGTTCTGCTCCATCATCAAGTATAGCGAATGTCTCGATGGTCCTGTCCTCGTTATGCAGCAGCACTGGCACCACTTTCAGCAAGACTCGACCTGAGGAGTTAGAAGGGGTGAGATAGATTCTGCTACTCAGTGCAGTAGTCTGCTTAGCTTTGAATCGCTTCTCTGCAGCTCCATGGAGCACTTGAAGGTGTATTTCTCCACACATACCGCAGGGTTTTCTCAGATTACAGCTCTCTGGAGAATGAGAACGACCACACTTCCAACATCGTTTTCCCTCTACTATCCACTGCATGAGATTATCTGCTGACTGCTCCTTAATATCTGAGGACTGTGTTATGTAGTGATCTTTACTGTGGCAGAACAGACAATGCACTTTGGATTTTCTCCACTGAGGGGGCTGAGACTCCGGCTTAGGAGCTCTATTGCTTTGGGATTCTACCCCATGGTAGACTAAAGTACTCTGACCTCTAGGTCGCGTTGAGGTTCTCCCATGTGCTTGGGGGATAAACTTTTCTTTCTGATAACGTTCAACTAGCTTATTGGACAGGCGCTGCTGCTGAGCTTTACCTTGAAGCCAGCCAGAGAAGTCTCTGAGGTTATATGGGTTGAGACTGGAGACATTCAGCTTACCTTGTATCTGCAAATATTCAATGAAGTTGTCTCTGAGATACTTAGGGAGTTTGCTGAGGAGCCTATCTACATGGGAACAGCAGCTAAGTTCAATACCTCTGGATCCTTCCAGAGATAACAGCATACTCACAAGAAGGTGAACTCTTAAAGCAAATGACTGGAAGCTACTACCATCACCAACTTTAACATCTGGAGCATTCAGAATAGCTGCAATTTCGCTCTGAGCTAACTGATGAGGCTGTCCATAATGTAACTGAAGAGCTTGCATTGCTGATGTATAAGGATGAGCTTCATGTCGACATGATTGGCCGATCATTTGAGCCTCTGGGAGTTTGAGATGCTCTAGCAGCACGTGATACTTGTATTTTTCTGATAGTTCTGGATGTGAATCTAGTAGATTGTCTAATGCCAGTTTTAGATTGGCGAAATCCCTTTCATTGTCTGCAACAAAATCTGGAATTGAAGGCTTCGGTGCTCCATACAGGGGCATATGAACTGGGGGTGCTGCACGATAGTCAATAGGCTGTGGCCATTCATTTGAGTGCACTGCATACAGCTGGTGATAAGCACTACGATAATCAGGCTGTGCTGAATAGGCATAATGATCGCCTGGATGGGCTACAGAAGGCTGCATGTGAGATACTGTAACGGGATAATTTATGGCCCATTGCTGTTGGGGCAGTCGAGGAGCATCCTCCAGGCCTGAGGACCTTATAAGTTTGGGGGGTGACTGATGTCCATATTGTACAGGTGTACGTATTTGTATCTGTGCTGCGTCTGGGTCAGCGTGCAGTCGTGGAGACATGAAATATGATGATGGCATAGAGTGAATGGAACTCACATTGTGTAATGGAAGCGTCTGCGATGCAAGCGGGGCTATGTTAGTAGACTGGACTACATTAGGTGTATTAGGAGTTACCGGTGCTGATGAGATAGGAGGGAGGTCAGATCTCTTCTGTTCTGGGCTCATTAATGCAGGCTGAGATGCTAAATAAATAGCTGGTATCTTTGATGAGTGTTCAGCAGTCGAGGAAATGTGAGGAACAGACTCCTGGGAATGTGCTCCCTTCTGTATGGCTGCGCCTGCACCTTGTACTATAAGGCTGTCGGCTTCCTCTTCACGTAGGAATGCATTAATTCGCTGCATCATATCCTGTCGACGCTGCTGCCTTTTCTCATAAAGAGACAATCTGCTTGTGAGCTGTGCGATCTCATTTGATTCCTCCTGCTCCGCTGCGGAGAGGTTCTCCATCAGTTCTCTCAATGAAAGTTCTTTATTTGACTGAATTTGCTCTGATTTACTCATGGGAGCGTGCGTAGATGATGCCAATATATCTCCAACTACATTCGCTGCAGAAGTGCTTGATGGAAGACAACTAGGAAGATTGATATCCAAAATATAGTTTTCCAGATGCGCAGGAAGTGTACGTAGCCTCACTGACCTCTGAACTGGACTGGAAGAGTTTGCTTCAGATACTGACATGTCTGTAGTAGTTAGCATCCGGCTCGAAGGACCATGTTACAATTAGGGATTAATTACTGGACCGATGTTTGCTAACCGCCACAGGGTTCCGATTAGAGAACTTGGAGTCAGTATTAGATGATATATGTAGCTTTAATGATTGCTGAGATGGACAAATGCAAGGTTTCTGAGAACAATAAAGAACAAAAGAATTACAAATTAATTACTGAAACATTCTTATACAAATAACAAATAAACTGAAATATATCTTAGTATACAAAGTATCAAGTGTACACTTATTCCTTTGTTAATACAAATTATAATGATCATCAATTTACACTTTCAATGATCAGCGTCTCATATTACAGAGCACAATTCACGGGCAATGAACAGATCGCGATAGTAAACAGATTGTGCATAATAAACACATTTAAACTGCTAAACAGTGTTTGCTGTTGATTCAATCTTCAAATAACAGTATATAAGCAAATAACATTAAACTTACTTTGTCTGTCACTCATACATTGTCCCAATAATGCGTGCAATCGAGCGAACTTTCCAGACGGAATGGCTGATGCAACACTAAAGCACGATGCCTGTAATCAGTTCACTAAATGTCCATATGTGATCAAACAGTGCCACCTTAAGGCGTACTTGGTGTACTGCATGCTCATACTCTCTGACAGGCATACATGGACAATTCGTAACATGATCAGCATTGGCTGTTTTCTGAAGATCGCAGCGCTGTGCTTAAAATGTTTATTTTAGTCAGTGCATTGTTTCATACGCTGCTAAAATCAGTTTCCAAAGCGGTGATTTGACTGATGTGAAAAGTGGCCAATCACAGTCGACCTTGCCTAGTTTTGCGTGAAACGTAAGGGCGGGACAAAGACTTACTGTGTTGCAAAGACAGAAAAAACAACTTATAAACAAATGTTTTGTTGGAATAATGCTTTGCGGATGTTTTCACTATAGAGATGTCTAGCAAGAGTAATTAAACCGCGGACATATTTCCTGTCATTTTGATGATCTACATACACGTTTTGCTCTTTTCTCTCCGACAGCGAATTGACTCGCCTCTGACCTGTCACTCCTCTGAATATGTCGGCGCGGAAATGCAGGTATTGCGCAATAACTCATTTTTTGCAAATCTGAAGAGTGCTTCATTTTACATGAGAGCGCAGTCATGTAATCGCTAAAACAGATCTGCGAGCTTTTAAATAGACTTTTTTTTTTTTTCAAATGAACTGCAAGTCCTCTCATGATCGCGTGTGTGCTCAGACTGTATCGCGATCTCTTCGCTATTAAAGTATTCATGAATTTTGCTCCTTGACTAAATTTTGTCAAAATCTATCCACTATTTAGAATTAGATCAATGCATGATCGATGACAATGTATTTGGCTGTATCGTGAAGTGAAACTTTTAGCAAAGATGGAACTTTTTTATTTCTTTGCGACAATAGAATTATGCTAGAAATGTTTCTGTATGAGGTATTTGTGTGATTTATACATAATATCTGTGTTCTAGTCTCTCTTCAAGCATTACAGGCATATACAGCTAGCTGTCAAAATAAACAGGCTCTTAAAACACTGCTTTGATAAATGTAGTGTTGTCATATTTCAAATACCTCAAGTAAAATAAAGTAATTTGTTTTTATTATTTTATTACTGACAGTGTACTTGTCTTTTTTTGTAAAATCATTTTAGTTTTTGGTTTAAGTTAAGTGTAAAATAAAATCTACATGTGATGTACAGCTATTTAAGAAACACATTTGCCATTGTAAAGAAAAAGTGTAAAATATGTAAATAAAAGGCTAAATTTAAAACTTTTCATCATATACTTTAATTAAACCTTTGAAAGCTTGAACATTTTTTTAATGGACAGAAACTGTCTCTATGGCTTTATAGAGTATTTGGTAGTTTTGCCAGTGTTATTGAAAAAGATTAATTGTCATGAAAGGAAAAACAAATCGACCATACTTCCTCTGTTAGTGCAAATTCCTATACATGTAGCTTTGGCATTTAAGCAATTAAACCAATCAAACAGATTTACACTTAAAAAAATGTCTATAATGAAAAAACAGAAGTAACTAACTAGTACTTTTTACAATAATATTTTGTACTTAATATTAGTATTATTTACTAAAATTTTTATTATTTTAGCAGTGTAATAGTATTTTTACTTGAGTACAAAAAATTCACAAGCGTTTAGTGCAGGTTTATTATATTATTAATATATGATTAATACATATTATTATTATTATTATTATTATTAATGGTTTTTATTTGTATCAATTCCTATGCAATGTTTTTATGGGTTGCTGAGAATACATTTCAGGTGTTCAATACGTTACGTGTCAGTCTTGAAAATAAAAATAGGTGCTGGAAAAAAGTGCTTAAAAGTCCTTTTCATTAGATTCTGCCTGTATGAACCCTATCATATGAACATGTAACATATATTTCAAAATTAGTCAGAAAGCTTTTGATGAATAGGCTACTATGTTGATATTTTAGATTTCAGTAGCAGTTTTCTTTTTACTTTTTGGGAACAGCGCCATTTCTAATGAACTTTTAAAAGCAAATTTTAATTTAAACATTTTTTTTGTTTGCTTGTTTGTTTCTTCCCGCAAACATAGTAAATATTCAAACTATTTATAATGTTTAAAGTGGCTGACAATAATACATATTCTTGATAATAGGAATTAAGCTGCTTCGTTTTTAAACTGCACAGCATTAACTGCTTAATTAGGCCTACAATGCTATATTTTAATACTGCTCATTATGGTGGTACTTGGAAAGAAAAAAATTTTCTGAGGTGGTACTTGATAAAAAAAGATTGAGAACCACTATATATATATATATATATATATATATATATATATATATATATATATATATCAGATATATGATTAAAGAGCATAAAAGTGCACATGCTCAGTTTGCTTTTTGGTTAAACTACATCAGCGTTGGTTCAGTTGTTGCACATAGAGAATAACGTCTGTACTCTGGGATTACCACGCTTAATATACTTGCATATAAACTCAATCGAATCTCAAAGCATTTACGAGGCACTGGCGATTTATTACTAGCGACCCTGCAGTAGTATTCTGATATGCTGGAAACAATCTAAACTATGTAATACTTGCCTTGTCTTGCCATGCCTTTAGCTGCTCTGGCACAATCTACATCGTAAAAAGCTCTATGAAAAAAATGAATTGATCTAAAATACACTAAATTAATACCGCTGTTTATCTTGCGACAAAACATTGACACTAATATTTTTTAAGATGCAATCAGTTCAAGTTTTTTGTAACTGCAAGTAAGCACAAAGACTTTGTTTCAGCAAACTTCAGCATCTTACACTGGAAAAAAAAAGTGAAACCACTGCGCATTTTATTCAAAGTACATTTGATTTATTATAGTTTTGTAGTCCGAAGTGCAACTTTACTTAGATTTTGATTTTAAGACAAAGCAGAGTAATTCAATTAATTCATCATCAATCTAGTCAATGTAGCCTATTTTTTTCCTTTGGAAGAATAAATATTTTGATTAATATTAAATTACATTTTTCATTTTCAACCAAGTCAGAACTACGATTTGAGGGTAAATTATACATTTAGCTTTAACAAATTACAGTAATTTCTTTTAGGTTGGTCCAATACCAAAATTATACTATGATCTAAGGGTAAAAAAAAAAAAAAATAATAATAATATAATAATTAGGGCTGGACGATTTTTTCGATTAAATTGAATTTACGTTTTGACGACGATTTAATAAAAAAAAAAAAAAATATATATATATATATATATGAAACATTATAATGGCACCAATGCACTTTGGTCCACTCTATATGAAGCAGTCGCACACCCGCACAGCACCACACAGCGGCATGGATTTTAGAATTCTAAACAGGTTTCTATACACACACCGGCGCCGCCCAGCCACGATTCCGGACGCAGTTCATATTTCTGAAACTGTGTGCGAAAATTTCATATTTTCTTAAACTGTCATGTGCGCGCCGTGTCGCGGCACTTCTGGTGTGCAACCTGCTTGACTGTCTGTTAAAGCGTGAAGTCATGTAGGATTTTACTTGTTGCATTAGTCTGAGTTACGTCTGTGTGGATTGTCAAGACATATTCCCTCATCAAGTCGATAAACTTGATCTCAACATGTATGAAGGACGTAAAAAATGTGAAAAACCGTGCCGGTCTTAGTTCAAACCGTGCTGATATTTTGGTTTGAAAATGAGCAGAGGTGAGGGCCTGTAGCAGTGAAAATGAAAGTACCCGCCCCCATGACGTCATTTAGCGGACCTAGTTGAAAACCAGACAGATCAGGCAGCATAATACAGAGAGTGGTGCAAAGCGCATCAAATGATTGGCATTTAAAAGGGGGAAAAGAAAAATAGATTAAATATATTATTTTATATTAGACACACATCTGGTGCTTTTATTTGCTCCTGCTATACGTCCACAACTTCACTCACTGGGTTAAATTAGGCTTTACAGTTTCCATGTTCAGTCCTTTACTTCCTCTGTATCTTTTTAGGAAAAAGGCAGCAGCATTACAACCTGTCATTTAATCAGAAGACAAAGTCAAAAACTGAGCTGACAGCCAATCTTTCCTAGGCTCAGCAAAACTTGCAAAAAATACCTCTGTGTTCCTGCAACTGCAATATTTACACATATATTTTTAATTCAAATCTTCTGCAACGATATTTAACTCGTGAATTTGTTTTACATTTATTTACACCTTGTTGACCAATTTATGTATGGCATGGCCATTGAAAATACAATTTTCCTTAACCAGATGGTTTTCAAGTTACTTTTAAAGAGAATGTTACTTCAGTCATGTTGTTGTAATGTTTTAAGTTGACTAGTTACACAATAAATAAAAAAATCTAAATCGTGAATTGGTCAAACTTTATAAAAAAGCTAGATTTTGTTTTGCCAAATCGCCTAGCCCTAATATATATATATATATATATATATATATATATATATATATATATATATATATATATATATATATATATATATATATATATATTTTTTTTTTTTTTTTTTTTTCAGTGCCTTTACATTAAACAGCATGTTTTCTTTGTGTGAATGTAATATTCTTTTCTTGACCACAATACATATTTTCATTTAGATTAAATTACATTTTACAGTTTGAATCAAAGTTAAAATTTATTTTGAGAAAAGTTGCTATATATTGGTTCATAGTGTATTTTTTCTCAACATCAGTACTTGTTCCATACTAAAACATATTTAATGCACATAGAACAGAATGTCAGAAATAGAGAATGTAACCTTTTAACCAAAAACAGGGATAAAACATATTCTTGGAAATGTAATTGAACAGAATAATAGCATGTCAGTGAATACAAAGCCTCTTCATGGCCTATTCATCAATTGCGTCAGAGTTGAAGTCATCAGCAAAACAAACTTCAGTCTGACAAGTTCAGACAGAAATCAAAACCCCCCGAAGCCACAAACTTCCACCCCCGTAGATCCCCAATGCTGATTGGAAATGATAAGACGCAGGGCAAGCCCATTTTAGACTATCTACATCTATAAAAGACTAAAGAACAAATGCCTGGAGTCACTTTTTCATTCCCTGCAGAGGACTGAAAATGGCGCATTGGCCAGCAGCTCTCATCCTTGTGGTGTCTTTGACACTCTGTAATGGCGCCCCCACAACAACACCATCAACAGAAGACCGTGAAATAGCAGAGGTCAGTTTAAGCGTATTTATCTTATTCTATTATTCTTAATCTTAAATCTAACCCATGTGTCATTTTTCAACAGAAATAGTTGATTAAAAACTGAGGAGAAATGTGATTTTTCAGCTCAACAGCGCCCTCTAGTTTAAAAAATCTATTCAGTATTTACTGTAGTCCGTTTGGAATATGCAAAAACGCACTGTACAACATTTTGCACACTTGTTGAAGCCTTAGTGGCGATGTCTTTCCAACATTTCATGGCTGATATTTATAGATTTTGGTAGGCACTTTGGCTCTATCTACTATTTAGTACAGTTGAAGTCAGAATTATCAGCCCCCCCTTAGATTTTTTATTTTTTAATATTTACCAAATGATGTTTAACAGAGCAAGGAAATTTTCACAGTATGTCTGATAATATTTTTTAGAATCAAAGCAGTTTTTAATTTTTTAAACACCATTTTAAATCCAAAATTATTAGCCCCTTTAGGCTATATATATATTTTTAGATATTCTACAGACCAAACCCTTGTTATACAACAACTTGTCTAATTACCCTAACCTGTCTAGTTACCCTAATTAATCTAGTTAAGCCTTTAAATGTCACTTTAAGCTGTATAGAAGTGCCTTGAAAATATATCTAGTCAAATATTATTTACTGTCATCATGGCAAAGATAAAATAAATCCGTTAATAAAGATGAGCTATTAAAACTATAAGCCTTAGATATGTGTTGGAAAAATGTGTCTATGTTAAACAGAAATTGGGGAAAGAAATAATTCAGGGGGGGCTAATAATTCTGACTTCAACTGTATATTGTGATAAAAGAGGTAGGCCTATGTTTTGAATTCAAAAAGTAGGTAAAATGTCAAGAATAACACAGTGACTTTTGTATGCCCTCATTACATTCATGTTGCATGAATGGAAACTATACTATAAAATAGTTGGGTTATAAAAATACCCCAACATATAACCCAACTATAGGCTATTATAGCATCTTCCCAACTGTGGGTTATTTTAACCCAGTGCATTTGGTTATTTTGATAATGAAAATGTTTTTCATATCCATTTATTAGTATTGCTACTGTTACCACTATTAATGTCTTAATCATGGTTGTTCAAATAAATAACATACAACTTTCAAGAATATTAAAAATGCTTTATTTCCATTACGTTTTAAGTTCCTGACACTTAAGCGTTTTTATCCATTTAATATAGATCGGCTACGAAGTGCACTTTTGTATCATCATTAATTAAGATTGCAGGTGAAACGGATAGAAAAAAACATGACACAGAGGTAATTTAATTTAAAAATGTAATAAATAAACTTGAGCTTAAGCTTAAATAAATGCATATTAATACAGCTGTTCTGTATCAGTTAAATCAGTTGACTGTAAAATTCATAATTTTTAACCCAACTGATTGAGTTATTAAATAAATAGGTATAAAATAACCCAACAAAGCACCAAATACTGAACCAACTGGTTATTAAGTTATAAATAAATAACCCAGCAAAGGTTAAAAATAACTTAACAAAGCATCACATATTTTTAACTAAATAAATAAATAACTCAATGTTTTTAAGAGTGTAAGTACATAATATATAGGTATTTAATCAAAATAAGCAAACTAATTTTGGATGCACTTACAATACACTCTCAGAAATAATCCGTCATGAAATACTACTTTAGTAAATAGCCCTATAATGTGTTTTGAACCAAAACTGAACTATACACTATACATTATATATTTACTTCTTATTTAAATGAAAGCCACAACATACTGTAGTAGTAATAACTAAAACGAACGATCAATATTGCAGTATAATTTATTTTTAGTACAGTAAACCGTGGTGTTATTTATTATATATTATATAGCTGCAGGTTAACTATGTTTAAATATAATAACCTTAACTTAAGTTGTAACTAATAACCTTAATTTCTCCAAATTTGATTGTAATGCAGTAATGTGCACCTTTTGTAAAGCTGCTTTGGAACAATAATCATTGTAAAAATTACTATACAAACAAATTTGAAGTTAATTGAATTGGTGTATTGTATAAAATACTCAATAGTTGTAGAAAACGTAGTACAGTGAGGATTTGTATATACTGTGCTTTCATTTTAGTTGTCTTTTACTTCTTCAATTCTATTTTCCAAAACGAATCCTCTTTGCACTTAAAAAGTTTACAATAAAGCGTGTTAACAAATTTTAAATGATTAATGAAGGAATTATAATGTTTTGACTTATTGTTTAATATCATTTACAAGCACAGTAGCTGCTGTATGGGCTATTTCTGTCCGTTCGCATCCCTTCTCTTTGCGCCCCCTGGCGGCTCATTCACAAACTGCGGTCATACACTAAAAACAGAGCGGCACATATTTCAAACGGCGGCGGTACATGCTGCGGCGTTAATAGCCACTTTGAACTCTCACCTACTGTATTACTATAGTTGTTACTATAATTACCACAGCAGAGCACCAAGCACTTTACTTTATTGTGCTTCAAAAAGGGTACAATATATTGTGCTTTTCATGTGGGAGCGTACATATCTGTAACTTTGGGTGGTGGTACACTTTCAAATATTACACTTTTATACTTAATAGTTAAATATGTGTTCACGAAAGGATCCATATTGTCCCTCAAAAGGTACAAGTAAGGGTACTGCCTTAGTGAAAGCGTTTGTGATTTTGAAATGAGATGATAAACTTATTTCATATAAAGTTTCCAGCTGCACCTACAGGAAGTATGCTGTAAAGGTATTGTTTATCTCTTTTTTCCTGAATCGTCCAGGCGTATTTGTCGCAGTTCTACAGGGACTCTAAAGCAGCTAAAACCCTCGGCAGAATGTTTGTTTCAAATCTGGAAAATGAACTGAAGGCCATGCAGTCGTTTTTTGGACTGGAGGTCACAGGTCAGCTGGACTCAAACACTCTGACGACGATGAAGCTGCCTCGCTGTGGAGTCACCGATGTGGCCAGATTTGGACACTTCGAGGGGAAGCCCAGGTGGAAGCAGAGCGTTGTAACTTACAGGTGGGTTTTATTCATCATAATTTGCTGATAATTTATCAGCTGCATCCTACAGGCCTTCCAAGACGTCACTACCATAATCACTAGCGGCGTAATGGATCACAAATCTCACGGTTCGGATTACACCAGGCCCAGATTGACTAATCGGGAGGACTGGGTAAATTCCCTGTGGGCTGGTCCGTTTTTTTGGCTGCAATGGCCAGTGTCCCTAACTGCTTACACTCTCAGCAGTAGCACTTTTTTCATTTATTTATTTATTTGACTATAGCCTCACTCTTTTTTTTCCATTATTTTGCTGCAGCTCCGCTCTTTTTATTTATTTTCTCACAGCCCTGTGAGCAAAATGCAGCCTGCAGGTTAATGATGACGTAACTATCATTCCACCCCAAACAGCAGCACCTTAGTGAATATAAGAATTCATATAATTAATATTAATGAATATTACACCTGCTCAATGAAAATCAGACGATTCACTACATTGATTAATCTGACATAACTTGATCAGAAATCTAAAAAGGGGAGGGAAAAGGTCATTCTTATTTAGGATTATTTTTCATTCCAAGCGCATTGACATAATAGCCCCATTGTGGTCCAGTGGTCAGCATGTTGCGTTACGACACCGCCGAGTTCAAATCTCACCTGTGTAATTTATTTATTTATTTATTTATTTCGTTTTTAATGTTAAGACATATAATACTGTTTGAGTTACTTATGTAGGTGTAAATTTTTTTTTTTTTTTTTTGTGTGACCACCGTTACAAAGGATTGGAAATCTATAAAGAATTTTGCACAGAATATATATTCAGATATTGCAGGGAAGGACATTGTAATGTTTTAAATAATAGTGTTGAAGATTTAGCTACCCTTTAATGTTCTCATATTTATGAAAAACATTAAGTTCTAAAGCAGCTGTTTTTAGTGAAAAAGATGTGATGGTGTCATTAAAAAACTGAATTGGAAATGACGCTATTTTAATATAGTCAGTCGTTGTGGCGTGGAGACTGACACGGAGGGATCCATATGCAGTATTTATTAATCACACTTAAACATACAATATGCACAAAGGTGCAAACACACATCGACAGTAGCAGTAAAGGTATCAAGGCTGGCGGCTGACAGACACAGAGTGAATTACCAGGCAAGGGTCAGAGGCAGGCGGCGTGATTCAGAGTCCGTGTATCAGGCTTGGATCAAGGGCAGGCAGCGAGTATCAAAGTCCGTGTATCAGGCTTGGGTCGTGGGCAGCCAGAAGGCAAAGCAGAGTCAAAAACGGGCTGGAGTAATGCACAGGAGATCAGGCAGGATATAACGCTCAGTAATGCTGGCCGGGGCTGAAACAAGACTTCGCAGTGAACCGTCTTCTTCTTCTTCTTTGCTGTTTTATGGCAGTCGGCAACCAACTTTTGGTGCATTACCGCCACCTACTGTACTGGAGTGTGAGCCTGAGTTTGCTACCTCCCGGAGAAAAAAAAAAAAAAAAAAATTTAACTACATCTTTATTCTTTTAAATCCTGTTAATTAATCCTGTTTTCCTTAGATATTTCACTAAACTTTCATTGTTATCGTTTCCAAGTATAATTTTTACGCTGATTTCTGAAGTTTTGTTCTATAATTTCTTTCTCTAATATTTCTCTTTCTATTATGAATTTCTTGCAGCAACATAAAACATGTTCAACTGATTCCTCCTCCTGACAATTATTACACAATCCAGTTGGATGTTTTCCTATTAAATGTAATGTTTTATTTAAGCCTGTGTGTCCCATTTTTAACCGTGTTATTATTCCTTCTATTTTATTATTTCCTTTACTTTTCCTCCAATTTCCTACTTTCTCTTGTAATCTATAGTAATGTCTACCCGTTATATCCCTATCCCAATTATACTGCCACTGTTTTAATATTTTCTTCTTCACTATAACTTTTGCTTCTGTTTTACTTAACAAGATATTCATAATTTCGTCTAGTTTGCATGCTTCTTTAGCTAAAAAATCTACTGTTTCATTTCCTTTAATTCCTATATGTGCTGGAATCTCGCAGTGAACTGTTCTTCTTCTTCTTCTTTCTGTTTTATGGCGACTAACCCATTAAAAAGCATTATCGCCACCTACTGTACAGAATCTTACTCCGATGTCTCCGGGTCTGAATATTAGAAAGGGCAACAGAAAGAAACGAGGAGGGAGGGAAAGGGACAAAAAAAAAAAAAAAAAAAAAACCTTGGATGTTTCATATTCTCCAATCTTTGCATCTAGACCACATACTCATGTCAGCGCTGCGTGTTCAGCTCCTCTAACATAAAGGGCCTTCATGACAATGATTGAGTATATTCTCACCCATAAATATTAGACTATAATCTATAACCTAAACCCGAATGCTCGATATACCTAATAAACGCTCTATATACTTGCCAATCTATTATACCTTTTCCTAGAATAATTTTATATATTGTTTTATCTTCCCCACACTGACTGAATAACATATCGCGATGTTTATTATACTTGCTACATATAAATAATGCATGATCTACATTTTCAGTTACACCACATACATCACATTTCCCATCCTCATGTAAACCCATTAACGCAAGTGTTGCATTTAACCCTGTGTGTCCCAATCTTAATCTTGATAACCACACCTCTTCCTTCCTATTTCTTCCTTGATTTAGTGTTGTCCCTACTGTCTGTATAATACTATAGTGCCATCTTCCAGTATTACTATTATCCCATCTAATTTGCCATTTATTTATTAGTTTTTCCTTTAAAATCGATTTTGCCTCTCTTTTCCCCAGAGGTACATGTACCTCCACCTCTTGCTTATTTAGTGCTTCCTTTGCTAATTTGTCAGCAACTTCATTACCAGATACCCCAATATGTGATGGAACCCAGCAGAAATAAACGACTACTCCTATTTCCTTTAATCTATATAAAGATAAATAGATTTCTGTTATTAAATCCTCTCTATCTGATTTTGAGTTTGCTATACTAACTAAAGCTGAAGATGAATCTGAGCAGATTACTACTTTGTTTGGTCTGACTTGTTCAACCCATTGTAATGCTATAATTATAGCTGTTATCTCTGCAGTGTATACTGATAGATTATTGGACAATTTTAAACTAATATTTACTTTGAACTCTGGAATATTAACACCTATTCCTATCTTTTTACTAATAGGTTCTTTGGAACCATCTGTAAAAATTTGTAAAGTTGAATAATACTTATTATTTAAATACGCATCTATTTCTTTTCCACTATATTCATCTTTAGATTTACTTAGCAATCTTACATCTATGAGTGGTTCAGGTGCTCTCCATAGTGGGACATCAGTGAGTGGTATATTGGGACAGAAGATCATGTTGTCTATACCATATTCTTTAGCCAACTTTTTACTCCTCCATCCAAAACTGTCCTGTCCTTCATATGAGTATTCCCAGCAATCTTTTAGTATTTTACGAGTAAGATGATTACTAACTGATTGCTGGAGATTTACCCAGTATGTCATCATCAATTTTATCCTTCTAAATTCAAGAGGCATTTCTCCCATTTCTACCCTAATTGCATCTACAGGGGATGTTTTAATTGCTCCACAACATAATCTTAACGCTTTGGTTTGTATGGTATCTAATTTTCCTAATAAAGTCTTAGATGCAGATCCATAGACAATGCAGCCATAATCAAAACAGGATCGAATCAATGCTTGATACATGCACAGCAATGCACTACGACTAGCTCCCCATCTGTGACTAGCAACTGAACGCATACAATTTATAATAATTTTACATTTTGTTTCAATTTTATTTATATGAATTTTCCATATTAACTTTTCATCTAACCATAAGCCAAGGTATTTAAAAACAGGTACTCTTTCCAATATCTGCTCATATAACTTTAAATCTGTATGTACTATTTTCTTGTTTTTTGTAAATATCATGTATTTTGTTTTTAATACTGAGAACTTCAAGCCCCATTCCAGAGACCATTCCTCAACTTTTTTAATTGATTCCTGTATTCCTTTATTAACATTTCTAATATTGCGTCCTCTTTTCCATAATGCTCCGTCATCCGCATAAAGTGCAAGTCCTATTCCTACCTTGTTAACCTTATCAAAAACATCATTAATCATTATATTAAATAAAATGGGGCTAATTGCACTGCCTTGTGGTGTACCATTTGTAATATTAAAAGCAGCTGATAATTCTTCTCCAATTTTAACTTGAAAGGTACGTTCAAATAAGAAGTCTAACACCCAGTTATAAAATTTTCCACCTATACCCATTTTGTTCAATTTAATAAGCAATCCTTCCCTCCATAATGTATCATAAGCCTTCTCGATGTCAAAGAAAACTGCTAACATATACTCTTTCATTACAAAAGCTTTCCTAATTTCATTTTCGAATAAAATCAAGGCATCATTTGTGGATCTATTCTTCCTGAACCCACTTTGAAAGGTTGTTAATATTTCCCTTTTCTCTAAAATATAATTTAATCTCTTAACAATCATTTTTTCCATTACTTTACATATTGTGGATGTAAGGGCTATAGGCCTATAACTGCTAGGCTTTGTTTTGTCTTTCCCAGGTTTGACTAATGGGAGCACGACTGCAGTTTTCCATTGCTTGGGCAAAACACCCTCATTCCATATACGGTTAATTACCTCTAATAATATCTCTAATGCTTTAACTGGTAACTTTTTTAACATTTGATAACTTATCATATCCTTACCTGGTGTTGTATTCTTTGAATTATTGATAGCTACTTTCATCTCAAAATACTTAAATTCATCATCTAGACTACTATTAAAATCTATCTTTTTCATGCATACATCTCCATATAATTCCATAATCTGTTGACGTTTTGTTAAAAATACATCATCTAGATTTTCAATGCTGTGAGCTTTAGCAAATGTTTGAGCCAACATTGTTACCTTTTCTTTATTTGTAATTGCGATCTTTCCATTTTCCTCCATCACAGGTATTTTCCTGGAGCTATCAGTTCCATTCATCTTTTTAATCATATGCCAAACTGTATTCATATCAGTTTCTCTGCCTATTGTATTACAGAAATTTTGCCAGGCTGCCCTCTTTGTGCTCTTGATAATCTTTTTAACATAAGCTTTTTTCCTTTGATAATCTATGACTGTTTCTGGAGTGAGCATTCTTTTTAAAGATCTAAATGCTTTTTGTCTTTCTTTGATTGCCCTTGAACATTCCTCAGACCACCAAGGTACATTTTTCCTCTTTCTTGTGCCATTTGCTAATGGGATTGATTGTAATGCTGCAGAATAAATACCATCTGTTACCTTACCATATACATGATCAATATTTCCCTCCAGTGTTATATTTTTAAAAAGGTTTTCACATATTGTTTGGAATTTTCCCCAATCTGCACTTTTGTATACCCATTTTATACCATTATTACAATTTTGTGTATGCACCTTACTTTGAATTTTACAGATGATAGGAAAATGATCGCTTCCTATATTATTTCCAGAAACTGACCACTTAGATTTACCAGCTAGTGATGCTGAGACTATTGTAAGATCCAAGCATGATGCGCTACCTTTTCTTATATCTATTCTTGTTGGCTTGCCATCATTTAGACACACTAAAGATTTCTCTTCCATGAAATTTTCTATTATTGCTCCATTTTTATCTGTTTTCCTACTACCCCAAATACTACTGTGTGCATTAAAATCACCACATACAATAATTTTATTTGATGTTTCACCTATAGCGCTTTCTAATATGTCTACAGCTAATTCTAAACAAGGATTATAAAAATTGACTATTCTGATTACCCCATGCTCACCCATTACTTCTATACATATGCTTTCTGTTTCACTTTCATTATTTACATACCTATAAATCACATTTTCTTTTATGAAAGTTGCACACCCTCCACCTCTACCATTATTCCTGTCTTTCCTTATTACTTCATAACCATTCAGCTTGAAATTTAATGGTCTACATAACCACGTTTCTTGAATACAAATTATATCAGGAGGTTTGCTCATATTTCCAATGTATTTTTTAAACTCCTGTCCATTAGCAATCAAACTTCTGGCATTCCAATGAAGCAATAGGAAAGACATGATAATGTTAAATATCACTACTCTGGGATGCATCATAATTTACCATCACATTCCACTCTTTCTTTCCTTCTTTTGCTTTTAATATCTTGTGGATTTGTTCAGCCGATATATCTGTACAATTCAGGAATTTGTTTGCACATTCTGCCACAATTTTAATCTTGTCGGACCTTCTTTCTACCTGTGCGGTGCCGTTCACCACTGCACAGATGAATGCCACTAAGTCAATTTTATTCACACTAATGTTATCAATGGAGTCATTCTGAAGCATACTCTTTTGTTTCTCAGATTTATTCACTTGAGAATTTTGTACATGTTCCCTATGAGTTTGTGTTTCTGTCTGCTGTTTTACTTTACGAGCTGCTTCTGCATATGTTAAATTTTGATTGGTCTTTACCTTTTGAATTTCACGTGCCTGCTGCTGAACTGGGCATCCTGCATACGCAGCGCTGTGTTCGCCTCCACAGTTACAGCACTTTAACTTAGTTCCTTCTCTACACTTCCCATACTGATGCTCTTCACCACATTTTGCACAACGCATTTTCCCTTTGCATAAAGCAGCAGAATGACCCATGCGTTGGCAGTTATAACAACGAAGAGGAGGAGGAACATATTCTCTTACCGTGTAGCTGATGAAGCCTAGTTTCACCTTTGCTGGTAGATTTTTTTCCTCAAAGTGTATCAACACAGAAAGACTCTCACATTTTTTATTGTCCCTCCACATCATTAGTCTCCTGGCCATGCCAACCTTTCCTCCACTCAAGTTCCCTTTAATTTCCTCCATAGTTACATTTAAAGGTACACCTGAGATAACCCCACTCTTTTTTGACCCTACTTCAATACAGTTTATTTTATCACCAGCCAATGTTTTTAGCTTCATTATCTTTGCTTTTTGCATTTCGTCTTTACATTTAATCAAAACTCTACCATTACTTAGACATGTTGCCCCTTTTACTGATCCTATTTCTTTCTCTATTGCTTTTGATAGTTTAACAGGATGCACATATTGTTCTGACTGCTTGACAAAAGTTACTAAGATTTTAATTTCTCTTTCCTCATTAACTGTCACTACCCTTCGTCCCGTCTCCTTATTTCCGTCGCAGTGAACTGGAGTTTGAGTGTGGCTTATATAGGGAGCGTGGGTCATTAACTGGATACAGTTCAGGTGTGTGCACGATCAGTCTAGGTGGATGATGTAATGCTTAGAAATGCGGGGATGGCGGCCTCTGCTGGCCAGCGAGGGGAATGACTGGGACCGAGTCGGTGACAGTCGTGAACTGAGGTGGGCCGGTCTGAGGCTTGAAACTCCAGGGCTGACAAGGAGTCCCACTCTGGCCCTGGATCACACTACAGTTTTTGAGTCATGGATTGGACCATTTTTCAGATCAACAAAAAGGGAGGAGACAAATGTCAGTTGATTTCCATTTATACACAAATATTACTGTAAAAACGTTGGTTTTAACAAACAGAACTTAGAACCTGTAGTTTTAATAAAAATTCAAATCAAGAAAGAACCAGCTGAAAAAAGAAAAAATGTTCAATACGAAAATTCATCTTTGCTACTGTTGCTGATAACATAGATATATAAATATATAAATATAGAAATCTTGTACAACAGATTATATTTATTTTCAATTAATGATTCAACATAAAACTCCATGTTTCATTATAGGTGGATCATTTTTGAAAACCTATCCGCTTGTTAAGTGGTGACGTGTTTGTGACGTATGTATACTGTTTCCGTGTGCAAGCCGCCATTCATTTGAGTGAAGAAATCATTCGTTTATGATCACGTTTTATTCCTATCACACATTAAAGTTAATTTTATATAAAATCATAGTGTACACAACAATCTCTGGGCTTGCTGCATAACAAATACCAAAAATTTTACAATTTATAAAAAAATAATCACTTTCTGGCCATCGGATATTAGGCATGGACATATATACTGCGATCGTGACTTTTGAAAGCCTTAAATCACTTTGTAAACGTTTATTATTACCATTTCATGAGTCTCCCCATTCAGTTAAATAGAGCACTTGGACCTGGAAGCCGCTTCGCGTGACATCATACTTAACAAGCGGATTCAGTGACATAATTTTAATGGTTGTTTGTCGCCACCTTTTGGTTACACAATGCAATTGCTCCAATATGCACTAGCATCAAGTTCCATTAAGCTCTGATTTCGTCAGCGCAATAGCCTAGTGGTTAGCGCGCTGACATATGGTGCAGTAGCACATCAGGGCGTCCCGAGTTCGAATCCCGGCTCGAGGACATTTCCCGACCCTACCCCCTCTCTCTCTCACTTCGTTTCCTGTCTAAAATACTGTCCTATCCTCTCAATAAAGGCAAAAAGGCCAAAAATAAATCTTTAAAAAAAAAACCCTGTGATTTCAATATTTACCATAAACATCAGTGTTTATATCTGAACTATAAGCTGTTCTTCCAGTACTTCTGTGTTATTTAATTGTTTGTAACGAACAAAAAAACTGTAAAAACTGAATCTCTATCAATCAAACGCAGCGCTTAGAAGGATTAATAAACAAATGCAAATCATTATCATTATTGTTGTGCGGGTTTGACCTGTAGTCTCCATAGACTGCCTTCTTCCGAGCCTCTTATTTTCACATTTTTAGTTCGTCACAGAGATAATATGGTTTTGAATCTGCTACTATGCTGACGCACAGGCATTTGTAGCTCCGCCCTCTTTTGAAAATAAGCCTGGTAGCACAATCTCATTTCAATATAAAGCGACAGTCACCAAAACAGCACAGTTTGGATCAAAGCATAAATGGGACAGTTCAAGGAGTTGTAAAACTTTATTTGTTGGGATTTTGAGCTGAAACTTCACACACACTCTAGGGATGCCAGAAACTTATTGTTAATAAGTAGATACTAAACATGATTTGCTTCTTTTTTCATAGGATAACTGAATATTCAACACAGCTGAGTCAGAGAGAGGTGGACTCCACTATCGCTAAAGCCTTCCAGCTATACAGTGACGTCATTCCTGTAGATTTCAAGCAGATCTTCAGTGGCACGGCAGATATCATGATACTCTTCAAAGGGGGACGTGAGTTATCAACACACATACCTACATACATTCAAACATGATAATGCTGAATTCTCTGAAAGCCAGTGTTTATTTACATGTATAGTAAAAAAAATAGTATTATTGCAAATTAAAACCACATTTTATTTATATGAATAAATGTTTTTTTATTTATGCACTCTTGGAAATAAAGGATACTCATATTGCTACTGAGGCAGTGTATTTTTTCAAATGGTACATTTTTGTACCTAAAGTTTTAAAAATAAATAAAAAATCATAATTTTTTAAAACTTTTGACCTCTTTATATTGATTTCTTTCAGATCATGGAGATTTTTACCCCTTTGATGGGCCGAATGGTGTTCTAGCTCATGCAAACTCCCCCGGCCCAGAGCAGGGAGGAGACACACACTTTGATGATGATGAAAAATGGAGCTTAAGTTCACACAGTAAAACCTCCAATCTCATATAAGAGCTCTGCTAACAAAATGCGTGACTTAAATGTTTATTAATAAACATAAATGTGCTTTATTCAGACATAAACCTGCTTTTGGTGGCGGCTCATGAATTCGGGCATGCACTGGGACTCGATCACTCCAGAGACTCTTCGGCTTTAATGTATCCAACTTACAGATATGTCAGTACAAACGCATATACTTTACCCCGAGATGACCGACTTGGGGTTCAGGCTTTGTACGGTACGTGTTTCTTTTTTTTTTTTCATGGAGAAGTGTACATACTGCAATATTAGGCAACTAAATGCATCAGATATTATTGTGTATGGTATAGGGTTGCATGATATGGGAAAAAATGCATTGCGATATTTTGTTTTTCTGCGATATAAATTGTGATATGTATATAATTACACAAGATGACTATTTAGGAAAAAAAATCTCAATTTTACATTGACTGTGATGATTTTTTTTTTCATCTGCATAAAATATACAAAAAGATACAATAATATTTAAAATAATATAATTTAAAGCACAGATGAAAACAATAGAACAAAGATAAAAATAAAACAAACAACACAGTACTGAAATATAGAAATTCCATAATCAAATATAAAATAACAGTGTCTTCAATGTATAAACCAAATTAATCAAATCTAATCTAATTGTCAGAGCTGAAATCATTACAATGTCTTGTGTCCAAATGGTTTAAATTGACATCCTGCGATACTTTACATTGTGATAGTGATTCCGAATTACTCAATTATGCAGCCCAAGTATGGCAACTGGAGAGAATCAATTGTAAAGCAATAATGAAATAAAATGTTTTCCTATCCTTTTGAATTATGTTTTAGGTGTTCGAGCATCAACAAATAAACCTGAACCTAAACCTGAACCAAAACCAAACCCACAACCTGCACCAAGCCCACCAGAACCATGCAAGCGTGACTTGATATTTGACGCAGCAACCAGAATCCGAGGGGAATTGTACTTTTTTAAAGATAGGTAAGGATTTGTCTTCTTTATTATTTTAGATACCTACATTTACATTAACAAATTATATTACATTTATTTCTAAAATGGTGTTACGCATTTCTAAAATGTTCATTAATAAACATTATTACATGAATTATAATAAGAATATATAACGAGTATGTGTGTGTGTGTGTGTATATACATACATACATACATACATACATACATATATATATATATATACAGTTGAAACCAGAAGTTTACATACACTCTAAAAAAAGGAACATAACCATTTTAAAAAATGTCTTATAGTAAATCATACTAAACATTTACTATTTTAGGTCCGTTAGGATTACCTAAATCATTTACATTTGCTAAATGCCAGAATAATGAGAATTTTTTATGGGAGATTTTTTTTTATTAATTTCTAGACAGTCAAAAGTTCACATACATTTCCTTGGTATTCATTTAGCTTTGCTGTTAAACTGTATAACTTTGGTCAAAGGTTTTGGGTCTCCTTTCACAAGCTTCCTCTCACAATAGTTTGCAGGAATTTTGGCCCATTCCTTCTGACAGAATTGGTGTAACCGAGTCAGATTTGTTGGCTGTCTTGCTCGCACAAGCTTTTTCAACTCTGCCCACAAATGTACTATAGGATTAAGATCAGGGCTTTGTGATGGCCACTCTAAAACATTCACTCTGTTGTCCTTAAAGCACATTTTAACTAATTTGGCAGTATTCTTAGGGTCATGGTTTGTTTGAAAGAGCCATTTGTTTCCAAGTTTTAATTTCCTGGGTGATGTCTTGAGATGTTGCTTTCTGTATTTCTACATAATGTTCTTTCTTCATGATGCCATCTATGCAAAACAGCTCTACAACATGATGCTGCTGCCCCCATACTTCACAGTTGGGATGGTGTTCCTAGGCTTGTGAGCTTTCCCCTTTATTCCTCCAAATGTAACACTGGTCATTATGGCCAAACAGTTCAATCTTAGTTTTATCAGACCACAGGACATGTCTCCAAAAATTAGTCTTTTTCCCAGTGTAATATGTATACATGTATATATATATATATATATATATATATATATATATATATATATATATATATATATATATATAGATATATGTGTGTGTGTGTGTGTGTGTGTGTGTGTGTGTGTGTATATATGTATATATACATATATATATATATATATATATATATATATATATATATATATATATATATATATGTGTGTGTGTGTGTGTGTGTGTGTGTGTGTGTGTGTGTGTGTGTGTGTGTGTGTGTGTGTGTTTGTGTGTGTGTGTGTGTGTGTGTGTATATGTATATATATTACTAGATATTTAAAATTCTAGTGGAAATAAAACAAATAAGACTTTCTCCAGAGGAAAAAAAAACATTATAGGACATACTGTGAAGATGACATTGCTCTCTCTCTGTCTCTCTATAGAAACTTGTTCATTTGTTTACTATGTTCTTGTAATTAAATTTAGAATTTTAACATCTATCAGGTATTACTGGAAGAAGGGCTACTACAGTGGACTTACACTACTTGAAATAAAAACCACCTGGCCATCCATCGACTCTGTTGATGCTGCCTATGAGTTCCAGGACAAAGGCACAAATTTTCTCTTCAAAGGTAAAGTCAGGTTTCCTCAAGAGTCTTTGAAGGCAGTTCAGCAAAGCCTCAGTAAATACAGCTGTGTGTGTTTTTACTTACAGGTCAGCAGTTCTGGGCAGTAAAAGGCAACACTATACTGTCTGGATACCCCAAACCCATATCCACATATGGCTTTCCATCAAGTGTGAATAAGATTGACGCAGCCGTACATGTGAAATCAACTGGTCGCACTTTGTTTTTTGTTGGGAGCAAATACTGGAGGTGAGAAAAACAAATATAATAACCAATATAGAGTTGAAGTAAGAATTATTTGCTCTCCTGTATACCTTTCCCCACATTTCAACGCATTTGTAATCATAATAGTTCTAATAAGTAATTTAACATTTTTCCCAAAATTTTTACATTTTTAAAGAGCCCCTATTTTGCATTAAAAATGTCATATTTTGGTTTTAGGGGTCTCCAATAACATGCTGACATGCGTGCAAGGTCAAAAAGCACTTTCATTGTCTTATAATATGCATTTATTTTTACCTAATTATCCCAGCAACTCCTATATCAATCGTTCAGAAATTCATTTGTTCCCAAACCCCTTCTAAGCACGAAGCTAATCTGCGGTGATTGGACCGATGACCCAGTCTGTTGCGATTGGTCGACTGCATTCAGCATGTAGCAGCCAGAGATATGAGAGCCCAATGCAGGAACGCAATAAATCAATGCAGTTAAACACCAGCATATCCCTCTACTCTTAACCCTAAGCCCAAATAATGACAACAACACACATTCAGAATTAATCCACACAGTGGCAAAAGTTGAACTATTTGACCATGTGTCGTCGTGTGGCTAAAAGCTGATGGTGGTCATCGCAAAGGCAAACAGCAGAGGATCACCAGTTCAAAAACACATTTAAATAAGTAAAGGAAGAAGCAAGCGTCATGTTTTCAACGTGGTTTTGGATGCGATATGTGAACAGCCCCATACAGATTTACCTGAGAGATACAGTACAAGCACTGATCTATTATACATACGTGATTACAAGCCGCGTGGGACCATTACAACTTATAACACAATTAAACACATATTTTGCAAACTACACAAAACAAGGCAACATTTTTAATGACACTTACATGTTATGATCCGTAGGAAAAAGAAACTGTTCCATTTGAACTCTAAAAGTTACTGACAAAGTTCCTGTCAAAGTCTGACAAAGTCCCATAGTCCCTGCTGCACCTTCAATAGCAAACGGCTGACGAATCCCACGCTGCAGCGTAGGTTATTGTATCAATCATCAGAAAAAAACAGGAACAAACAAAGCACTAGGTTGGCTATACTGTAGTATTGTTGTGAAAATTAACTGTCAGTGATTTCGCGTCATGATCAATAGTCGTGATCCCCGCGCTTCCGCTAGTGTGTGGAGGGAATGCGCATGCACAATGTAACAGAACTGGAAGTACATATTTGGTGATGTACCGTATCGATGTCGATGCAATCAAACAAAAGATCCGAACCCATTTCGACTCTGAGTCGACTATTTTGCTAAAGAATCATTAGTTTTAATGCTGCACTTTCAGAATTAAACCTCAGCTGGATGTTTTCATTCACTTACAGCTGTGTTACACACTGCATGGAAGCTCATTTTCAAAAACCTATAATAGGGGCTCTTTAAAGTGACATTTAAGTGGTTTAAGTAGATTAACAAGGCAGGTTAGGGTAATTAGGCAGGTTATTGTATGACGATGGTTTGTTCTGGAGACTATCGAAAAAAAATAGCTTAAAGGGGCTAATAATTTTGACCTTAATGTTTTTTAAAAAATTAAAAACTGCTTTTATTCTAGCCGCAATAAAACAAATTAGACTTTCTCCGGAAGAAAAAAATATCATAGGAAATGCTGTGAAAATTTCCTTGCTCTGTTAAACATTATTTGGGAAATATTTTAAAATGAAAAAAATTTACAGGAGGGCAACAATTCTGACTTCAACTGTACATAAAAACTAAAATAGCATCAAAACTAACATGATATCATCTGTGGTGTAGCTTCAATGACAGAATGGGTAAAATGGACAGAGGCTTTCCTAAATCCATCAGTGCTGATTTTCCTGGCATCGGCTCAAAGGTGGACGCGGCTTTTGAAAACTATGGTAAGATTCAAGACTATAAATACAAAACACTAACCATTCTGTCATTTAAACAGATCTTATTGGGCTCTTTTACAAAACTCTGATATTATTTTGTGTGTGGGTTTTTCGTGTGTGGGAAAAGTATGTTTTCTGTTTGTTCATACTAATTTCAAAGGAGCTGAGTCAACACAATTCTTAGATTTTTTTTGGTTGAACTTAATTGTTTTATGTTCAATCCAAATTTCTAAAAACTATTAAGTTAACTTAATCAATTCTTGTTGGGACAACATGAATTAATTGTGTGGAACTCAGCATTTTTTTACAGTGCATGCTCGGTGGTTTGAGAAAAAGCATTAATTTTGACATTATTTACATTATTACACTGTGTAAAGTTATTGCTGTCTTAAATTTTAGTTAAATCAAATGAACATTTTTAGTCAGATCAATTAATGCAGAGTTCAGACTGCATGATTTTTTTGAAAGTAGTCGCGTCTTGGATGTTTTCACACTGCATGACTATCTGGGGTAGCGTTCCGTCGCTGCTCTGTTCATACTACAAGATGGATCCGTGACAGGAGATTTACACTGCATGACTTTACAGTAGGAGAATCGCTGTCAACTTTGTCTCTGTCCACCAACTACGTCTCACAACCAAACACACGCAAGAAGTGACATGGAAACAATACGAAGTCACATATTATATCAGGTGTTATTAACTACATAATGAAGATGAAGCCTTAGGTGGGGTAGAAGTGGACTTATTTTGCTCACTGTGGTTTTAGCAATTTTTCCTCAACTTCTTTCTTTTTCAACAAGGTTGTGATATTGCTCAAATAACACGTCAAAAGGCATGGCTGCTGCCACCAAATTTACACTATAGTTTTTCCTCCACTTCTTGGGTTCAAATAAACTGAAAATGAGCGCTGTTACTTCTCCCCCAGCCTCCCACTGGCTGGCAGATACCCATACTAGTGGATGCTGCTCTTTGATTGGCTGTAGGTAATCGCAATGTTATTTTTGAATGATGATTTGAATCGCCGACAGCTCCAGATATTTACCACGCCCAATGTCTAACGGGTGTCGATGACTCATCTGTGATTCTCTCAGATCGCATCTGTGATAGTTCTGTGATTACTCATGTGAACGAGCACCGATTTGCCGGTGATTTCTCAAAACCTGTCGGTGAGTCAAAATCGGGGCTAAAATCATGCAGTCTAAACTCGGCATTACAACTATAAAACTGCCTAAAAATATTAAGTTCAACCTTGTGCTTTATGTTTAAAACAACGCAATCTCACAGCAATTCGTAACCTTTTGATTTAGTGTCCAGTTCGTATGATATCGTACGATCTAATTCGTACAATTGAGTACGATTTGCTCATCACCCAATGATGGCTGGGGTTAGGGGTGGGGTTGGGTGCCACGCCTTCTTTTTAAAATCGTACTTTTTCATACGACTGAACTCGTACGAATTCATACAAATTAGCCACTAAACTGCCAAAATGTAAAATGCTTACGTTTCCTTGTGATATCAGGCTGGTTTAAAAGCATTTTGTTGAAACCTGATGAAGTTATTAAATTAAGTTAAAGTAACTCAAAACATTTGTTGGAATGACCTTTTGTCGTGTCACCTTTTACAGTATTTTTTTCTAGTTTGGATGAACTATTTAATTTAATGCTGTTCCGTTTAATAAACTATTTTTATTCTCCTTTTAGGTTATCTGTATTTCTCAGACGGTGCAAGGCAAACAGAGTATATCTTTGCCTCAAGACGAGTGAATCGTGTTTTATTGAACTACGGATGGCTGGATTGCTACTAAACTATAAAACAAAATGTAGACATCTTGTCATGTTTCAGTAATCCTGAGTATTTGTAATACTACTTTCTACTTTTTTTTTTAAACAGAGCCTAAATGTGATACTAATTATAGTAGGAAAAGGTGAATGCATATTTTTTTGCAAATGAAATAATCATGTTATACAGTACTATGTACACAAAAGTGTTGTTTTCAATATACCCTTTTTACACCCTGTTAATAAAACTTTTAAAATACTGTTTCATTTCTAATTTGTTTTCAGTTTTTGAGAAACACTGTGGGCTGTGTGTGTGTGTTGATCCCAGTTGTAAGAGTAAATAATAACTTGATTTCTAGTTGATCATTTGTAAAAGTGGCAGAAGGTAGATTTTTCTAAAGAATCACCCGTTGAACTGCATCCCAATCATTACAAATACTGCAGATGACCTATTGGAACCTACATTGATCACAGAAATCAGTCAAGTTTGGTGGATGGCTACATCAACAGCCTGAGGTATCAAGACATTTATGCTGCCCATTGCATTACAAACCACAGGAGATTGCAAATTCTTTAGCAGGATAGCGCTCCTTCTCATACTTCAGCCTCCACATCAAAGTTCCTGAAAGCAAAGAAGGTCAAGGTGGCCAGCCCAGTCACCAGATCTGAACATTGTTGAGCATGACTTGGGTAAGATGGAGGAGGCATTGAAGATGAATACAAAGAATCTTGATGAACTCTGGGAGTCCTGCAAGAACGCTTTCTTAGCCGTTCCAGATGACTTTATTAGTTACTTGAGTCATTGCAGAGATGTATGGATGCAGTCCTCCAAGCTTATAAGAGTCATATCATTTCTTTTCCTACTGCAGCATGACTTTATATTCTATACTGTACATTATGTCTGTTAAGTGACAAGTCTTTTGTCTAAGCAAAGTCAGAGCTTACTGTCCTAGTTAAATAATTAAAAACCAAAACATGATTATATTATATTTTGGTAAAAATAGCGTAATCTAGAGACTTTTGCCTTTCATATAAGCTACTTTTGATAGTTACTCAGACAGCACTGTTGTTATTTGGTTAAATCTTGAACAACAACGAACTCTCCATAGACAATTCTTTGAACTATATTCACACATATTCATTCAAATATGAACGCTAAATTTCACAAATCAGCATGTATGATACGTTTTAAAATCCTCGTTTTCCAACAACCATTCCACACACTACACTACCCACAATGCTTCAGTGCGTCGCGATGTGACGCAGACACACCTCCCACTCTGATTGGGTGTCACTTCTCCAAGCGTTTACTTCGGATATTTGAAGGTGAAATTTGGGAACTGCGCTTTATTGAGTACAGTATTTCATCGCGAAAATGACATCTCGTGCACTTTACAGTACACGTTCGCAACTGTGCAGACATCTGGTGAGTTTTGAGCTGAATAAGAGCTATATTAATATCTGAACTTGGTCACAATAGGCGACGGCACATGCAGTAGTTTGGCTGCAGGCCTGTTTCATTATTTACCTTTTTAAAACGCTGCATTTCTCTTTAAAGTGTGTTGATATACATGTTATAATCCATTAGTTGGTTTTATATCTTGTCTACTATGTGTATTTGCAGGCACATAAATATCTGAGTAGGTCCTACAGCACACGACCATCTCTAAATGTGAGTAACGTTAACGTCAAACTATATAAAGCAACTCTATATCATTATTGAGGTAAAGTTGGTTTTATAACCGCACATTTGTTCATTTTTGAACCGTGACAAGTTGTGACACATTCCCTGTATTGTTTACCACGCTACTTTTAACATTCGGTCTGAAATTGCATGTAAATGTGACTTCAAAACAACATTAGCTATATCTGTGAATAGCTTGGGTCTATTCATAGTAGATACAACAGGCCTATATGTAAACTCCAATGCCATGAGAAGATGCAGATTTTTTTTCTTTTCTTATTGTTGCCATTATTTTATTCACTTTAAATTCAAATGGTTCACAACACAAAACTGTCATGCACAACGTGAGCATGATGAACATAGCTTTCTCCGTATAAAGTGCAAGTAGAGGACCAATTCCTCAACCTCAGTCATTTTAGGCCATAGAAATGATCATATAGGTTAAACATTGCCTAACTGCTTATAAAGAAAACAGATCAAACAGGGATCTATATGCCTCTTAAATGACTAAATTAATCCACTGACAGAGAGAAACTTCATTTCTGCTGCTTTTGGCTTATCACGCTCGTCTTTATAATTCAATATGCAAACCACATCAACATTCTTGGGATAACCAATGTACAGGAGGATCTCTGGAAAGCAAAAGCACGACAGGAAGAGGAAACATGAGGCACAAATTGTGAGTCTGCATCATCTGACGGCGCGAGAGCAGATAATTTGCACGTGAGCTGACAAGGCTAAAATAACAAACAAAAATTCCTTTATGTTAAATCTCTAACTTACCTGAACAAAAATAAAAGAAAAGAAAGTACAATTCACTACCCTAACTACCTAACACAAAAACAGAGGTCAAAAGGTTTTACAAATAAAATGGCGTCAAACTCCTTACTATCCCTATATATATATATATATATATATATATATATATATATATATATATATATATATATATATATATATATATGCATACACATATATACACATATATATATATATATATATATATATATATACGTACGTACGTATGTATGTATGCATGTATGTATGTATATATATATATATATATATATATATATATATATATAAATGTATATATATATAAATGTATATGTATATATATAAATGTATATGTATATATATATAAATGTATATGTATATATATAAATGTATATGTATATATATATATATATATATATATATATATATATATATATATATATATATATATATATATATATATATATATATATATATATATATATAAAGCCAATTCAGCAAGGTAAAAAGTAACTGAAATAATATGACTTATTTTTAAAAGTGATGCGTTACTTTACTTGTTGCTTAAGTAATATTAATATGTAATGTGCATTACTTGTAACGCGTTACCCCCAGTACTTATTAGCACTAATAATTGACCGTGAACAATGTTGTGCTTTGATTGTCTGCTTATATGATTTCCCTATTAGCAATTTGCAAACAATACTTTTCAAAACTTAGTCCAAATGTGCGAGTATAAAACCAACTTTACCTCAATATTTCATGTATCCAGGGTTGTTTCTATCAGTTTTATGCTGAATGGTTGATTTGTGCTTTGTTCATTTGTCTCTGGACAGGAAGTCGTCATCGTCAGTGCTGTCAGGACTCCTATAGGGTCATTTAAAGGAAGCCTGTCCACATTACCAGCCACTAAACTGGGCTCCATTGCCATTAAAGGGGCTATTGATAAAGCAGGTTAGAGATCTGATAATCTTGAGAGGATTTCAGGATTTATTATTTATGATTAATAAATGTACACCTTGAAGGCCACTTGGAAATTCTAATCCACCTGGTCATCTGAATTTAAATACAAATATTGTCCATTGGAAAAATTAAAGTTGGGTTTATATTTGCACATTTGCTCATTTTTAAAGTGAAAACTTGTGACATGGTCTCTATATTGTTTATTACATTACTTTGAACATTCAATCTGAAAGTGCATGTAAATATGACTTAAAAACAACATTAGCTCTATTTAATTGAATGTAAACAATGTTGTACTTTGATGGTCATTTGCTGCTTATAAAATTTCCCTATTTAGAATTTGCAAGTAATACTTTTCTGAAATTCTACCATGAAGGCGAAAGTCTAAAGTATAAATGAACGCTGGTCATAATATTTTTTGTTTTATTGATTTTAGTTGTATTACAAAACCCAGCAAACAAATACAGAATATTAACCTATATAATATTTCAGAATGTACTTTCCCACCCCAACATTTGTTAAACAGAAATAACAATTAAAATAAATTATAAAATAAAATATAATACATAAAGTAAAAATAAATAAATACATTTAAATTCACCAGTGTGCATTTGCATATATAATAATAATAATAATAAAAACATTATTACATTGAATTTTAAATTACATTCATCTTTCTAAAGACTTCCAATTTTATTTATCCCTTTATAATGTGACTGAAAGGAGACCACACTTTGTTTTTAAGTCTCTGATTTACCTCTGATTACGCATGTTAATTTTTCAATAGCAAGGTTATCAGACAGTCACAATGTTTATTATTAATGTTAATTAATATTATTTCTCAGACAACACCAATGTTAATTAATATTATTTCTTAGACAACACCAATGATTTAACTTTATAAGGGTTAAGAAAATCAATATTTCGTCAAGTAACCCTGTTTATAAAAATATGAAATATTAGTTTTATTTGGAAAAAATATATATTTTTGACCAACTGTGAAACTTTCTCAGCCCCTTTATGGAATAAAACAAATATTGACATTTTACTTAAGTCCATACCTAATCAATGCAGAGAACAAAGTACAAAGTATTTCCATTTCAAATAAACATGTTGATGTTTAACAAAGAGTCCTAAAATATGTTACTTCTAAAGGAACAAAGTGAAGCACAGTAGTGTTTAAAATTGGTTATAAGAAATCATTCTTCAGCAGAAAATCAACAATATTAATTGGATCATGTAACACTGAAATTAAGATTTTGAAAGTGTAGCTTCTTTTCATCACAAATTGTATTTGCCTGTTAAAGTATAGATATTCCAATAGAAAGCTAGTAATTTTTTTTTGTAATAATATTTCAAAACAGTTCTTCTCTTAGTTAATAAATTCACAAGAGAAGACTTTAAAAGCAAAACACCTTTTAAGTGACCTTTATAGAGAAGTGTTTGGTAACACTTTATTTTAAGTCACAACTTAATCTATTAACAAATGGCTTATTACCTATGGAAGGTAAATCCTGCCAATTTTAAATAAATCAAATAAACATTGAAAATGAAAATGTAAATCAGATTAACAATTTCATTTTAAAACACTGTTCGCCAAAAAAAAACCAAAATGAAATGATTTCAATTTCATTTTCACTTTGACAACACATCGTCCCTGTCAAATTGATAATTTGATCAATCTATTAACAAAATTTTCCATAATTACCTGCCTATTATTAAGATATTAAATGTTCACTAGAATTGTACATTTCCTAAAGGAAATGTGAATGGGGTTTGCGTGGCAAATCGATGGGGTACAAAATGGTACTAAACTGGCCAAAATAGCAGTAAATGTGGAGAAATGGTTAAATTCATGTGTTTATGTGGTTGCTAATGTAATGTAAGTGGTTGCTAGGGTGTGGCAACGCCTTTGTAATAGGTGAAGACGATAGAGATTTGATCAACCTGCATCAAAAGAACCCAAACCCTGTCTTTCTACGATATTCCTGTGCTAAAATATGGCTTGTTTATGTTCTTATATGGTTGTTAGGGGGCCTAAAGTGGTTGCTATGGAGTGTCTACAAATTTTTTATGTCACTACCTAATACCGACTTGATAGGCGGAGTAAAATGAGCCCACTCCCAAGCTTCTACGACTCTCTAATCTAGATATCAATGTCAGCCATTTTGTGTCCATGTTAAGTCAATGGGGATTTTGGGGGTTACTTTCTTGCCCCTCATGGGGGCAGTGTACCCCCACCCTCTTTGAAAAATCATAGCACACCTCTTCTCAACAGGCCGATCGATTTGACACCTCACTCATCATTCTAGGGCAAAAAATGCGGCCGGAGTTGCGCGCCGAAGTTTTGAAAAAGTGAACAGTAATAGTAACACTAGAATTGTACATTTCCTAAAGGAAATGTGAATGGGGTTTGCGTGGCAAATCGATGGGGTACAAAATGGTACTAAACTGGGCAATAGCACTGGAAAGGTAAGAAATGGTGGTTGCTAAGATGTTGCTAGGCGGTTGCTAGGGTGTCCTGAGTGGTTGCTAGGTGGTTGCTAGGGTGTTCTGAGTGGTTGCTAAGTGGTTGCTAAGGTGTTGCTAGGCGGTTGCTAGGGTGTTCTGAGTGGTTGCTAGGTGGTTGCTAGGCGGTTGCTAGGGTGTTCTGAGTGGTTGCTAGGTGGTTGCTAAGGTGTTGCTAGGCGGTTGCTAAGGTGTCCTAAGTGGTTGCTAGGTGGTTGCTAAGGTGTTGCTAGGTGGTTGCTTGGGTATTCTAAGTGGTTGCTAAGGCGTTGCTAGGCGGTTGCTAAGGTGTCCTAAGTGTTTTCTAAGTGGTTGCTAAGGTGTTGCTAGGTGGTTGCTAGGGTATTCTAAGTGGTTGCTAAGGCGTTGCTAGGCGGTTGCTAGGGTGTCCTAAGTGGTTGCTAGGTGGTTGCTAAGGTGTTGCTAGGCGGTTGCTAAGGTGTCCTAAGTGGTTGCTAAGGTGTTGCTAGGTGGTTGCTAGGGTATTCTAAGTGGTTGCTAAGGCGTTGCTAGGCGGTTGCTAGGGTGTCCTGAGTGGTCGCTAGGCCCTTACTAAGGCGCTACTAGGCGGTTGCTAGGTGGTTGCTAGGCGGTTGCTAGGGTAATTTGAGTGGTTGCTAGGCAGTTGCTAGGGTACCCGGGGTGGTTACTAGGCAAGCCTCATATACATGCCTGATGAAATAATTATACTAAGTAAGCATTTCTAGCAAGTTACAGTACTTGGCTAGTCAATATTAGCATGTAGCTAGTCACTGCTAGCATGTGTAGCATATAGGAAGTTCCGTTTGCTAGCATGAGTGAAACGAGCCAATCCCCAAGTCTCTACGATGTTCCGATGTTGAGATATAGCTGTTGATGAACGGTTGCTAGGGTACTCTCTTTTGTTGCTATGGGCGAGGTTACAGAGTGAACTTGAATGTGGTTGGCTGTCCAAGTCAAATGAGCCAACCCCCAAGTCAATAGGACACTGCTAAGCAAAGATATGCATGTAGGGCAGTTATAATGGCAGTCTATGGGACCAGTTTGGGGGCGTGGCTTGTGAGATTCATTATCATATTGAGATGCTCATTGGTTGTCTGAGTCAGATGAGCCATCCCCCAAGTCAATAGGACACTGCTAAGCAAAGATATGCATGTAGGGCAGTTATAATGGCAGTCTATGGGACCAGTTTGGGGGCGTGGCTTGTGAGCTTAATTATCATATTGAGATGCTGATTGGTTGTCTGAGTCAGATGAGCCCACCCCCATGTCTCTATGACCCTCCTATGTAATGTTATAGATGTGTGACCTTTATAATGGAAGTCAATGGGATCTGCAATGGGACATCCCATCCCATGTTAAGTCAATGGGGCACTTATTAAGGGTCTTTAAGTGGTTTGGGGGGGCGTGGCTTGTGAGCTTCAAAATCATAATGAGATGCTGATTGGTTGCCTTAGTCAAATAAGCCAACCCCCAAGTCTGTATGACAGTGCTATGTACTTTGATTGACATATGACATTTATAATGGGAGTCAATGTAATGAATGGGAGTCAATGGGCAATGTAAAGTCAATGGGGACCCTTTTAGGACGTCCTAGCACCCCAGGGGAACAACCTATACCCCCTTTCGGGGTATGTTCTCACTTAGGCTGCAACCCCCTACAGATGTTGTGAATCCCATATTTCTATGAAATTCACACTCGGCGCTGTGATTCGTCAAAGTTCGGCTCCATGTAAAGTCAATGGAGACTTTGGGACGTCCTAGCTCCCCAGGGGTACAACATTTACCGCCTTTCGGGGTGTGGGTTGAAGCCTCCTATAACCCTCTCGAGATGTCGCGAATCCCATGTCTCTACGAATTTCACTGTTGGCGCTACGGCGATTTCCGGGAATAGTATCTTACGAGTGTCTAGAAAATGAATGGGAGTCAATGGGGCCCATGTTAGTCAATGGGAGCACTTTGGGATGTCCTAGAGCCCCAGGGGTGCAACTTTTACCCCCTTGCGAGGTATGTTCTTACTTAGGCTGCAACCCCCTACAGATGCTGTGAATCCCATATTTCTATGAAATTCACACTCGGCGCTGTGAGTCGTCAAAGTTCGGCTCAATGTTAAGTCTATGGGATTTTTGGGGGGGTTTTTTGGCCCCTGCGGGGCCAAAAAACCCCCCACCCCTTATAAAAGTCATAGCACACCATTCCCGATAAGACCGCACGATTTGACCCCACTTTCAAGGGTCTGGGACGAAAGCTGCGGGACTAGTTACGCGCCGAACTTTGGGCGGAAGTAAGAATAATAATTATAATAATAAACCACAATAGTAAGAATGGACTTTGCCTATGGCAAACCCCATTAACTAGAATTGTACATTTCCTAAAGGAAATGTGAATGGGGTTTGCGTGGCAAATCGATGGGGTACAAAATGGTACTAAACTGGGCAATAGCACTGGAAAGGTAAGAAATGGTGGTTGCTAAGATGTTGCTAGGCGGTTGCTAGGGTGTCCTGA